TGAAGTTTCTAGCTTATCATTATTATTAATACATTAATATATACGCAATATTTTTGGTTAAAGTGGAGTAAACTTAATATTACTACATACACTGTTGGATATAAGTAAGTAACATACATAGAAATACTCTAAATACAAGTAGTTATACATTTAAGTACAGTTACTGTTCCACCACTGCTGTACCTGAACGCAACATATCCTGTAACCTAAATGAGCACAACTATGAAACCATTACTGGATGAATTATGACTGTTACGTTGTTCCCTTGTGTTCACCCCACAGAGGGAGCATCAGGACTTCCTCTTTATCTAATTTGGAGTTATCTGGAAGCTGTCTGATCTAATTGAGCAGCTCCTCAGGGTGTGTCTGCCATTTCCCTTCGATAGCAACAAAGTAGTTCCCATGATGAAGTTAAAGCTCAGATTGAATGAATGGCACACAACACACTGTTTGCCCTGTATAAGTCTGTATTAACACTGACATGATGTTGGATACCTGTCACTGTCATGTTTGCTAACGCTAGCTCCAGGTCGTCCTCTTCGTCCTCCTCTTCGTCCTGTGTGAGACGTTCATGCTCTTCTTCTGAGGCCGTGCTAGTTGTTTCCCCGATAGCGTCCATGCTAACGGAACTACAAACATGAAACTAAAAGTTCGTGCTGGGTGACGTTAGGTTGGTTGACTCTGCTACCGTACACCGTGTCAACTAAACATACAGCTAACAACGCCAGCGGTCAGTGTGAGCACTTAACCCGCCATTATAAATAAAACTGTATGTAACGTTACAGTAGCTGCTGGGGAACTCCACTTCACAGTTACCGCCAGAGAGCTGCTAACCAGACGGAAATGATTGTGTGTCGTTGGAAATTATTGTGTGTCGTTGGAAATAATCCGTCTGAAACGGCCCAAAGATCGTCTATGGAAACCTCTTTTTTTTTAAGTCAAAAACTTTATGTAACATTGTCGAACAGGAGAAACATCAACAGGCACAAGTCAGACAACACATCAATAATATTCAATTACAAATAAACGTACTAAAATATTGTCCGCAAAATGTTCTCATTGTATGAAAAGTAAAAGTATTCATTGTCACAATGGGTCCTGACAGTGTTATATCATTACTGTTGATGCATTAACATGTAAACGATATGTTCAAGCTGGTTGAGGTGCTTTAATGCTTTATATACTTCTAGGTAGTTAAATCTATACACAGCATCATATTTTATTTTTGATCACGTGTTGCTAAAATCTGCAAAGTAAATTCTAACTATAGCTGTCAAATAAATAGTGCAGTACAAAGTACAATATGTCCCTCTGTTAAATAGCCTCGTGGAGTAGAAGTTTAAATCCAGGTAAAAATTAAAGCAGACTCCTCAATCCAAGTAGGCCTTCCTAAAAGTAATCAATTAAATGGATAAAAGTTATTCAACAAAGATATATGTTAAAGGAATTGGGTTTATTTTGACTTCCAATCATCATCATCATCATCATCCCCTTTTAAGTGACACCATAAATTTGGCAAATAGGGCATGTGACGTTAATTTCTGTGCCATGAGCTGGTGTGATGAAGGGAAAGGTAACTTGAAGTTAATTGACCCAAAGACCCCCAGCAAAACCACACCCCACTAAAGATGTGGTACTAGTTTGTAACAGCTTCTGATTTTACTTTTTCACATTTTACTCTGTTCATTTCTATTTTGTATTCATTTACCTCTGTCATTTTATTTTCTGTAACATTGTATCCCCTAAGGAATGATCTACAAGACTGTTTCATATTTTTATAATCTGTTTATCTGCACAGGCACACCTATCCTCAACCCCATTATACCACCTACTGTACATACTGCACAACTTAGCCTACATAACAGTTTACATGTTACCATTACTCTCCTGGTTACTGCAGTATTATATTTATATTAATATAAATATATTTTTTTATTTATATTATATTTCATTATACATGAATATGTATATATATATTTCTATTTAGCTGAGCTGTTGCACTGTGGTATGTATTAGATTTGTCTTTATTCATATTTTTTATACACATCTGTATGAGCCAGAGGTCTAAGAATTTCCAAGGACTGCTTCACTGTAAGTGTTGTGTACATAACAATAAAGAACTTTATAAATATAAATATATTAAATATAATAAATAGACTACAAAATCATCTTTACCTTAATTTGGTTATTTTATTTATATTTTAATTATTGTATGTTAAATGAACTTAGTTATTTATTATCCAGTACATTTCTTTCTTTCTTTCTTTCTTTCTAAAGTCAATTAGGTCAGTTTAACCCCCAAATTCCCAGAAACCGCCTGAGGACACGACCTACATTTTATAGAGGTTATAGTGTTAACACGAACCCGCGACAGAGTGAGACCTCCTCCCTTTCCTCCTCTCTGGCTCCCATCAGGAGTCCAGTCAGTCACATGACAGAGCTGGGAAAACCTCCTGACTCCCCGCTCCTCCTCCTCCTCCTCCCCCTCCCCTCCTCTGTCAGTCGACTGTTTGCTCTGTCTGTCGGTGTGTGTGTCTGTGTGTGTATGTGTGTGTCTGTTAGCTAGCTGTTAGCTATCATCACCATCAACCGCAGGAACGACGCGAACATGGCGGACACAGCCAGGGACCCTCCACCGGCGCACACCGACTTCCAGGAGCTGGAGGACGGGGAGGACCTGTTCCTGGAGCCGGCCGTAATACAGGAGGTGAGGAGGAGAAGGTGGAGGTGGTGGAGGAGGTGATGAAGGGAGGCCGAGGGGAGCTGTGGCAGGCAGGGCGTGATGCTTCCAGCTGACAACAGATGAAAACTTAGAGGAGGGGGAGCAGGCAGGGAGGAGACCTTTTAAAATGGTTAATTTTTGAATGGGGTTTGGTGTGTGTGGGAGCTCTTGTTTTATTCCTCCCTGCTCTGTCACCATTCAGCAGAACAGCCGTCTAAACGCTTTAAAGGCTGTGTCTAACACCACTAACTGTGGCCTTCAAAGCGACAGTTACAGAAGCCTAGGAGGGTCATATTTGCGCAGAGGGAAACGCAAAATAGGTGCGTTTGTTTGCCGTCAGGTGACAGTCACACAGGTGTGGGTGGTGCATTCAGGGCAGACTGGAAAAATGGAAAAACAACATTAAAGCGCAGTTGAAGAGATTAAAGTTTTTTGCTGATTAATGCCTTTGAACTAATTAAAGATGGTGGTTGAAGTTTTGGAAAATGTAATATTTGAATCCTTCCATGGTGGAAGCCACAGAAAAAAGCAATTAACCCAGCAAGTAGTTGTATCCAGACAGTGTTTTACCACAGTGTTAATTACAAGTGAAACGACTCAAAACAACAAAAGGTGGCCAAATATGGAGCATTCCAGTTCAATGCGGTTATTTACAAATAAAACAGCATGAGAAGTTTCCATTGAGTTGAATCACCTCCCTTTAACACAGCCTGGATAAAACTGAACACTACAGGCTTCACAAAGGTAGATTTAGTTGCAGGGTTGTTGTCCTTGTTCTAGATGGCTGTCAACAGAAGTCGGACCCCAAAACTGATGCAATGATAACTTACTTTTTTAGAAGCATTTCAGAGCCCCTTGTGCTCAACTAAAGCTGTTTCATTTCTGAAATGAACCCAGTAAAACACCTTTGTTTGGCTGTTTTGTTCTGATTTTACTCTCCAGCGCAGCAGTAGACGGATGCGCGTTTCACAATATGGACAGGAAACCCCAGGAACGATGACGAATGACGAAACTTTGTATGAGCAAAATATATCGAATCAAAATGAACTTTAACTATGGCCCATTCATGTTGCCACCAGAAACCTGACTCATGTTACCAATCATTCTGACAGTTGTTCCACACACAGGACCATACAGATACACACAGATACACACAGATACACACAGATACACACAGATACTGAACATACAGCTGAACAAATAGAAGCAAACTCAAACATGTAGCTGTTGCACACAGGCAATAGCTGAACAACAAACAGTATACAGGTCAGATTGTTACTATGTACTATATGTACATGTAGTGTAAGAGTGCACAAAGTGTAAAGAATGCTGGAATAAATACAAGTGACTACAGAGGGGATTGTTGATTCTTTTGGGCCGATTGAAGCTCTACTGAGCAGTTAATTGAGCAGGAGCTGGCCTCACTATTAACGTACGCAGATGACCGCTGACAGAAATAGTAGCTGCAGACGCCAGAGAAACGCTTTGCTCATAGAACCTACAGCTAAAAGAGTGTCATCAAAGGGCCCGAGCTTGAAGCAGAATGAAACGGACGTAAAGCAGCACCTGGTTCAGTGTGACGGCATGAAGAGAACATATATGATATCAGCGTTTTCTGAGCAGCTTTACAGTTAAAAGGAAATGACTACTCTAAGGAGACGGGACGTGAACCGCAGCTTCCTGTGGTGGCTCCCTGTTATTGCTGCTATATGCAGTTAGCATGGTTAATGGTGCTTTCCAACATGCCATGTAATGCTGCTAAGTGGTTCAGTTGTGGTAGCTTTACATGGGGTCAATCTGGATTCATTTCATACAAGAAAAAACTGCACTAACTGGTGAAGTTGGCTGATGTTTTAGAACCAATGTCACATGTTCTCCATCAATACGACACACGTGCATCTTTTACGCAGTCACTTTTAACGCATGCTAGTTCGTGTTAGCTATCCGGGCTTGTTGTATGACTGAAGCAGGACTTTGACAACTAGAGCACTACTGCGGTTTCTTTTTCAAAGCACTGCTTCTGCTTTGAACGTCGCTTTCACAACTGCCAAAAAATATCTCTTATCTTTTTTTTATGTTTTTATTTGTCTAGTGCAGTGTCAGCTCACTGAGAGGGCTTACAAGAGGACATCTTTTGGCTGAACCAGAGCTATATACATGGCTAGATGGATAGCGTTAGTGGTAGATATATAATTCTACCGTTTACAGGACAATCACCTAGACTGGATACAGTCATTGTAACTTCCCAGTGAAAGCTGATGCCATCTGAAGTCTTTAAACTCATGGATCAATTACTTAACCTGACCTACATGGTCTCATTGGTACGTGGAGCAACAAGCCCCTACCAGCGCAGCCCCTTGTGTTTTTAATGCAGTCATATTTTTGGTCTGGGAAGGTGAAAAGTTGTTTTAATAGACTGAGTCTTGCAACCACTCGTGTTAAAGTGCCTCTCTAAGATGGTCTTTCTTCTTTAGTTTCTTTAAATTGACTCTTTTAAGGTTTGAGCAGGAGTGAGACCTCCGTCTGTCAAAATATCTCAGATTAGCAGTTATTTGAAAAGTTTCTTCAACTGTTTTGCAACTTCAGCTCAGAAACACACTTGACACACACACACACA